GGACTTATAAGAGCCTGTGGCAACTCTAGCAAGTAGAGCAGAGTGTGTGCCGCGGGACACCGAAGACAGGCGCGTATCAACGTCAATATAATAAAAAGAAAGGAGGATCTGTGGGGAGCAACCGGACTAGACTGAGTTGCTGGAATTAAGACTTATTCTATGCATCTGCTCTCCCACAATATGGCGCTGGGAGAGAAGTAAACAGCTTCCGCACAGCTGCCTCCAGTTCAACTAATAAACTGTAGGACTTGCTATTGATTGGAGGAGAGCAGCGTACTCGGCGTGTGGGCAGCCGAGTTGGGATTGGCGGAGGAGGACTATAAAGGAGGAGAGAGACGGCATGCACCAGGAACATCTAAGGGGAACATCTAGCTGAAGGAACACCCGTGCAGCCCCCGAGAAGAGCCGGCCGGCGGTGTGCCGCTCCCCTGCGGAAGTGGGGAATGCGGCCAGGGGGAACCGCCCTTCCACGGAGGTGGAAGGGATAGTAGCCAACCCGGGAAGAACCAGCAGCAAACCCGGGGAGGGCCGAGCGGACGAAAGAACAGCGCAGGGTCTTGTGTCGTTCCTCCACGAAGAGGGGGAGCGACATAACTGTAGAAAGTTCAACCCACTAGAAGCAAAAAACAAAGAAATTATTATTTAGTATGCAACTTCACTGCAACCTGGAAAGGGAGCAGAAGTATAAGGCAAAGATCACATCCATCCTTAATAGATCTCCATTTCTTACTAGTACCTTTTACTGTTTTCAAATATCTATCTAGATAATCACTGCTCTTTTCTGAGATTCAAAAAAAAATCAGTTCCTTCAATCAACTCAGTAACAATTTTCAGAAAGGCAAGAACTACAAACAATTGAAAAATTAATCATTCACGTCAAATACACTAAGATAGCTTTGAAAGCAAATTTGAATAAAATTATACTTAAAATATTAAAAATAAAATATTAATATCTCAGAAGAAATAATTCAATATAACAATATTATACCATTATGTTATGTCTTTAAAATTATTTTATGTGAAAATGCCTTCAAAATTTTTTTTGTTTTTCGATTGAAGTATAATTTACATGGGGTAAAATATACAGGTCTTACATTGTTACAGTTCAAAGAATTAAACATCCATAAAGTCCATATTGTTACAAAATAAAGAATATTTCTAATAGACTAAAAGATTCCAGAATTTCATATACTTGGCATCAGAATAGGCTCTCTTTGGAAGCTGGGCCTTTAGCTCAGCATAATGGTTCTTGTATGTTGGCACTTCATTTTTTTCTGTGAGTAGTCAGTCCCTTTACAGTCATATTTCATTTAACAGCAGAGATACATTCTGAGAAAGTACCAATAGGTGATTTCATCATTGTGAGAACATTATAGAGCGTCCTTACACAAACTAAGATGGCTACATCACTAAGCAACATGATCTCAGGGGAATACTATCATACGTGCAGTCTGTTGTTGACTGAAACTTCATTAGGCAGTGCATGACTACACACACACACACACACACACACATCCTGCAATGTATTTATCAGGTATTCTTGCTGATGAAAATCAGTTGTTCTGGAGCTGGTGCAGTGGCATAGCAGGTAAAGCGCCACCTGAGGTGCTGGCATCCCACGTGGGCACTAGTTCAAGTTACGGCTGTTCTGCTTCCGAGCCATCTCCCTATTGGTGTGCCTGGGACAGCAGCGGAGGATGGCGCAAAGTTCTTCCACCCCTGCACCCACATGGGAGACCTGGAAGAAGCTCCTCACTCCTGGCTTCAGACTTGGCCAGCCCTGGGCATTGTAGCCACTTGAGAAGTGAACCAGTAAATTGAGGCTCGCTCACTCGCTCTCTCCCTCTCTCTCTCTAGCTCTGCTTTTCAAATAAATAAATGAATCTTTAAAAAATAAAGTAAAATAAAAGTATCATTTGTTTCCACTTTTTGGCTATCATAGATAATGCTGCTACGAACATTTTTATACAAGTCATGTAAGCTTTTATATACTATATATAATTTCTTTTAGATAAATACTTAGGCATTAAGTTGACAGGTTGTCATACTGCCACATCAATATATGATAGTCCTGATAACTACCTCCTTACCAACATTTGGGGTCTCAAACCAGCGCCCATATCGGATGCTGGCGCTTCAGGTCAGGGCGTAAATCCGCTGCACCACAGCGCCGGCAAAACATAATTTGTTTTAAAACTTCTCTTCTAGGGAAGGCACTGTGGCATAGTGGGTAAAGCTGCCGCCTGCAATGACGCATCCCTTATGGTCTCTGTTTCGAGTCCCAACTGCTCCACTCCCAGTCCAGCTCTTTGCTATAGCCTGGGAAAGCAGCAGAAGACGGCCCAAGTCCTTGGGCCCCTGTACCCATGTGGGAGACCTGGAAGAAGCTCCTGGCTCCTGGCTTCAGATTGGCACAGCTCTGGCCGTTGCAGCCATTTGGGGAGTGAACCAGCAGACGGAAAACCTCTTTCCCCCACCCCCTCTGCCTCTGCCTCTGCCTCTCTAACTCTACCTTTCAAATAAATCAATAAATCTTTTAAAAAAAACTTATTTTCTAATATAGGCATTCAAGGCTATCAGTTCACTTTAAGCTACTTTTGTTGCATCCCACCCATTTTGATATGCTGCATTTTTAACCAGTCAGCTCAAAATACAAGTATTTCCTAACTTCCTTCTTTAACTCATAGGTTATTTGAAATAAGGTGATTAATTATCAATTATTTAAGAAACTCCTTTGTTACTGGTTTCTAAATTCATTTGCTTGTGTAGAAAACATTTTTATATGACATTATTCCTTGGAATATATAAAGACTTAACTTATGGCCCAGTATATGATCTACATCGGTGAACATTGCAAATGCACTTGAAGAGTCTAAAGCAGAACTCTTCCTGATGTCTTTCTGATGAATTGGTCATTTTATTAGTGGCAAATACCCCCTTTTCCTCTGGTTCTCAGGACACCCTTGAGGCTGTCAGTTTCATGGGCATGCCCCTCTTTTCCTAACATTTCATCTGTGGTACAAGCTTTAGTAAAGGCGTCTTCCCCAAAGTACCAGAAGCTCCCCCAACCCAGGAAGTTCCCTCACTCCCCTCCTGCAAGCCAAGCTGAGGGTATGATACGGAAGAGAAGCTACACATCTCAACTGCTGCAACAATTAGTAAGCATGCACTAGCCAACCAGAAGAGTACCACCAGAAACTGAACTCTGCACTACCTGATAGAGATGTCTGCACTGTAAGACCTGGCAAAGAAGTATTTATTGGCCTTAAGCCACTTTCTTGAGGCAATGAATATAACAACCTAGCAAAAACTCCAGCAGATGAAGTAAATTCACTGCAGGGATCGCTCTTAAAAAACCTGAAAAAAAAGTGACAGCCAGCACTCAGCAAAATGAAATGCTTGAGCTTCTCTAGCCCACAGCAGAGGAAGGATTTAACGTCACTGGAAATACAAACTATTATGATTGCCTCACTACTTCAGTAAAATTACCTGCAACCATATACCTGAGTGACAACAGGGATTTTTTTTTCACCTCCAAACACTTTTTTAGCCTAACAAATTTCCAGAATCATTTAAAAATTTATCAGTCAGTTTAATATTCTTTATTCTTTTTCTAACGAATATAATTTCCAAAGTACAGCTTATGGATTACAATGGCTTTCCCCCTCCCCATAACTTCCCTCCCACCTGCAACCCTCCCCTTTCCCTCTCCCTCCCCCCTTCCATTCACATCAAGATTCATTTTCGATTATCTTTATATACAGAAGATCAGTTTAGCATACATTAAGTAAAGATTTCAACAGTTTGCTCCCACACAGAAACATAAAGTGAAAAATACTGTTTGAGTACTCGTTATAGCATTAAATCTCAATGTACAGCACATTAAGGACAAAGATCCTACATGAGGAGTAAGTGCACAGTGACTCCTGTTGTTGACTTAACAAATTGACACTCTTGTTTATGGCATCAGTAATCACCCTAGGCTCTTGTCATGAGCTGCCAAGGCTATGGAAGCCCTCTGAGTTCACGGACTCTGATAATTTTTAGACAAGGCCATGGTCAAAGTGGAAGTTCTCTCCTCCCTTCAGAGAATGGTACCTCCTTCTTTGATGACCTGTTCTTTCCACTGGGATCTCACTCGCAGAGATCTTTCATTTAGGTGTTTTGTTTTTGTTTTTGTTTTTTGTTTTCGTTTTTGTTTTTTTGTTTTTGTTTTTGCCAGAGTGTCTTGGCTTTCCATGCCTGAAATACTCTCATGGGCTTTTCAGCCAGATCTGTGTGCCTTAAGGGCTGATTCTGAGACCAGAGTGCTGTTTAGGACACCTGCCATTCTATGGGTCTGCTGTGTATCTCGCTTTCCATGTTGGATCGTTCTCTCCCTTTTTTATTCTATCAGCTAGTATTTGACAACAGGGATATTTTAAGGAGTTGTCAGTGAAATCTAGAAACCCAAAGCAACATTATGACCCCTGTGCTAGAACAGGAGTCTACAAGGGCCAGGAAACAAGGAGAATTCTGGCTTAAACTTGGCATACAGCTTACTTGGTCTGTATATACAGCCAGTGGTCAATCTCAGTGCTCCTGAATGAATTAACTGAATTGATATTTTTGGCAGTTGGAGTATACTAGCAGAATAAGGAAGGCCACTCCTAGCCTCTTCATTTGGGAATCAAAATACAAATACAACAGGCCACTTGATACTGGCCCTTAGGTTCTGTTTATTTTATTAGCCTTTATTCTGTGACACTCTGATTATTTCTTTTCAGCTTTCCTTTTTATGTTTCAGTTTTATTATATTCTATTTTCCTGTCTTCACGTACATTGATTGGTTCATTTGCAATGTCCAATCTAATGCCATTAGTGAATTTTTCATCAAAAGTATTCTGTTTTTTTAATAACACAGTATAGTTCAGTAAAATTCTGTTTTGCTCCTATAACTCACTGGAATAGTAAGGTCCTAAAATTATTCATCTTTGTATTTCAAACACATAACAGAGTATCTGGCACCCAGGAGATACTCAGTAAATGTTGAATCTATTAACTTTTCTCAAACCTTCTGCTACGGCCAAATTATTAAACACTAATTGAAAACACTTTGATAAATATGCCAATAAATAAGAGCAACTTACCCTTTAAGGTCATTAATTAATTTGTTTTTTTCCTGGACTATTCGCTTGTGATGTATGCGATGAAAATCACGTTCCTTCTGAGTTTTCAGCAGATCTTCTCTAGCCTTGCTGAAAAAATAATGACAACTTTAAAAATCCCTACTAATTCCTTTCTGAAAAATTAGCCTTCAGTTTACATCCAGTATTGGGCAATTTAAAAAAGAGCTGAAAAACAAACTTTCCAATAAAATCCTCACTGAAGGATCACATCTAACATAAATTATGACTGGAGGTCATAATGTATATGGGGTTAAGGAACGAAGGAGCAAAACTTGTGGTTTCAAAATGTGACTCATTGACATTTCATTTAAGTAAATTAAAATTAAAGGGATGCTGCCAGAGTATTTTCAAGGTATAATCCATCTACTCCAAGGATAATTTGTTGAGTGTGTAAAATTGAAATACATATAAAACAGAATAACAAAATAACCACAAATAAAGGAAAAACTATAGAATTTAAACTTACTAGAATACAAAGTTAAAATGAAATGATTATTTGTTTCTTATAATTGATAAAAGAAATTATATACATTGCAGGAGACAGATTTTATTCTGATAATGCACGTGATAAATATTTATCACCAGTGTATCAGATTGTTAGAAATAATTTCTAACTTAATAAGTTCTTCAGTATCAATGTTATAATAAGAACAAGTCTACAAATGGATATATCTTCTGCAAACATGAACATTTTTTCTAAGCCCAAATTTTAAGAGAAAAAGTAATAGGCATACATCATCCATCTCTATAATGTAACTTAGTTTCAAAATAATAATGTAAAATATAATTTATAACGAATGAGTAATTCTGTAACCATCTTGAATAACTATTATACTGATACTTTCACATTCTGAAAAATGGACTGAATTAGAGGAGTGTCATAACATTAGAATCATAAAGGAAGAAATCTACTTCTGGTTCACGATATTTCAGAATTCAGATTCATATATAATAAATGCACGCAGGTACATTCCTCTTCAAGCTACATCATAGCAATCATTGAGAAACAGCCTGGGGTGCTTCCATAGAAGTTTGGTAAATGAGGTTAGGTTTTCAGGCTCCTAAGGAACCATATGCTGATGAGTGTGACTCCTTGCTGTAAATTTGGATTACATGTAGTATATGACAAAAGTTCTCCGATCCACTTTCCAAGTTTCTTTTTCTCTACCCTCTCAATTTTGGGGGGACACCTGCATTGTTCATTTTACTGCCATTTTGTTTTCATCACATGTAAATAAATAATATACAAATAATTCAATAATACCCATGGTCAGCTCCCCCCATCTAACCCTCAGCTTCATTTCATGCAAACAATCTTACAGGGGAAATAAATTGTTTCAAAATTCAGTCTTGAAAAGTCATCTGAGGAATATGCCCATGATAAGATGATGAACACTTTATTCTTCCTACGTTTTAACCCTTTGCATGTGTATGTGCTTGTGATTGTGTGTGTGGGAGGGGGTGATTTCTCTTTTACTAAATGAAGGGAAAACAAGGTTTAAGACATAAATCATAAACTTGAAAAGTGATCATTTTCTCAGCTAAGCAAGCCTTTACTAACCTTTTAGTAATATATCCCATTTCCTATAAGATTCTCAAAGACATAAACTTGAGTTAACATGAGTTTTTAATTCTGACTTTATAGCCACAAAAATAACACCAACAGGTACTGTTTTCTTGATAGTGGCTTCTGCCTATTAATGGCTGCAATGACTTTCATATAAATTAACAGTCTCAACGTTCTCATGTCATGGTCATGAGCATTTCCTCTGTGCACACAGTTACACATCGTTCTCTACTTCCTAAGGAAAAATATTATATGACTACTTTAAAAACCTTCATTTTTATTTTGCTATCCAACTGTTTTCAATATAACATGTCTTTCAAAATTATATTTTTGGTAAATAATAAGCAATGAAATCAAAAGCTGGTGATGCCCATGCTTTCATTGGTTGTATAATTAAAACCCTGTTACAAATCTCTCAACTATTGCATAAACAATATCTCTGAAGTACATTAGGGTACATTTTTAATGCTGTTGTTTGATATTAACACTTTTTCCATATATATCTTATATATTGAATATATATTATGTATATTATATATATATTCCATATATATGTGTGTATATACATATATATATATATATATGTTTGGACAGGCTGAGTTAGACATGAGAGAGAGAGACAGAGAGAAAGGTCTTCCTTTTTCTGTTGGTTCACATCCCAAATGGCTGCTACAGCCGGCACACTGTGCCGATCCGAAGCCAGGAGCCAGGTGCTTCCTCCTGGTCTCCCATGCAGGTGCAGGGCCCAAGCACTTGGCCCATCCTCCACTGCCCTCCAGGGCCACAGCAGAGAGCTGGACTGGAAGAGGAGCAACCGGACAGAATCCAGCACCCCAACCGGGACTAGAACTAGAGGATTAGCCAAGTGAGCTGTGGTGCCAGCCTTTCCATATATATTTAACACCCAACAGCGACAGCCCAATTTACCAAAGGAAGCCATGCTTTTATTCCCCTGTTATTACACTTAATTTCTAAAATAATATTGAGAATGATGTTGGATGACGATTCATGTTTTAGTTTTTTAAATCTATTATTCTATTGCTTTGGCAAAGACGCCTCTTCTGTAAAAATCAGAAATGATGACAATTTTCCTTCAAATACTGGCATGCATAGTTTATTTTTAAATATTAGTACAATAGTTTCATATACTCACTCTTAATAAAAACAGTATGAGAGTTAGGGATGGTCTGCATCTTAGTAACAATAAAGTCTATATTCAGGATAAAAATATATGTACATCTTCTGATTTTTACAATGTGGGTAAGATAGATACATAATCTTTACTGTTAAGATCATTTTAAGATTTATCAGGAACAGTCTATTATATTTGTGACAACTCTTTTTGCCATGATTCTGAATTCTCTTGTTATTTGCACAGTTTCACCTACTCCAAAATACTTCATCCCTATGTTTTTTTTAATATAATATTTATTTATTTATTTATTTGAGAGGTGTCGCTCCCCGTCTTCATGGGGGAACGACACAGAACCCTGCCTAGGCTTCATATCCGAGTCACGGCGACCATTATGTCGCTCCCCCTCTTCGTGGAGGAACGACACTAAACCCTGCCTAGGCTTCATATCCGAGTCACGGCACCATTATGTCGCTCCCCCTCTTCGTGGAGGAGCGACACTAAACCCTGCCTAGGCTTCATATCCGAGTCACGGCACCATTATGTCGCTCCCCCTCTTCGTGGAGGAACGACACAGGACCCTGCGCTGTTCTTTCGTCTGCTCGGCCTTCCCCGGGTTTGCTGCTGGTTCTTCCCGGGTTGGCTACTATCCCTTCCACCTCCGTGGAAGGGCAGTTCCCCCTGGCCACATTCCCCACTTCCGCAGGGGAGCGGCACACCGCCGGCCGGCTCTACTCGGGGGCTGCACAGGTGTTCCCTTAGATGTTCCCCTTAGATGTTCCTGGTGCATGCCGTCTCTCTCCTCCTTTATAGTCCTCCTCTGCCAATCCCAACTCGGCTGCCCACACGCCGAGTACGCTGCTCTCCTCCAATCAGGAGCAAGTCCTACAGTTTATTAGTTGAACTGGAGGCAGCTGTGCGGAAGCTGTTTACTTCTCTCCCAGCGCCACATTGTGGGAGAGCAGATGCATAGAATAAGTCTCAATTCCAGTAACTTAGTCCAGTCCGATTGCTCCCCACAGAGAGGTAGAGCTACAGACAAAGAGGGAGAGACAAAGAAAGGTCTTCCATCCACTGGTTCACTCCCCAAATGGCTGCAATGGCCAGACCTGAGCCAATCAGAAGCCAGGAGCGAGGAGCTTCCTCTTAATCAGGACACTAACTGTACCCCCAGCACTGGATGCTAGTGTTGCAGGTGGATGCTTAGCCTACTACGCCACAGTGCCAGCCCCCATCCCTATAGTTTTAGCCAGTTATCTATATTGCTAATTAAAATACAAATTATTGGGTTTGAAATATAAATAGGAATTCCTTCTTCTAATTAGGATATAGAAATCTATAAAGACTATCTTGCCCTTACAAAAACCAGAGGAACTACAGAATCATCTTCCTGGAATTCATCAGAAAGTTGAAATGACAAGGCAAACAAATAACATAAAACACATATACAAACTGTGGCCAAGGAGAGCAAAAAGAATGTTATAAATCAGATAAACTCAAGAAGTACTGAGTAAAGTCAAGTGAGGGTAGGCATGGCAGTTTGAAACAGCCCAGTGTAGCAGAAAAAAAGCCAGTCTGAACCCACAAGCTTTTTCCCTCAGACCTCCACTATGTGTTCAGGAGGAAAACGGGAAGCAGATCAGTGGACCAGAAAGCTCCCTGATTTGACAATATGTAGCGTAGGACAAGAGGATGATGGGCGGGGCGGGCACACACCACTGCCTATCTCCTAGGCCCCAGAAGAAAGTGAGACACACAAGACACAGGATAAGACACTTTACAGGTGAGGCAAAAGTAAAAACTCTCTCTCCTTGAGAGATAGCCAAGTTCCAGTCTTGGGCCTAGTATTTCATCTTATCAAGTACAGGAATCCCACTCCTAGACTAGATGCATGAAACTTCCACCAAGACCAACTGCAGATACAAGGCAGAGCTTGGCTGTCACAGTGAGAAGGCAAAAAGAGGCATGAATCCTGAAGAAGCTTTAAACCCCAAGCCTCCAGCACACAAGGCCTGCTTAAGAGCGAAGATGGACCACAAAAAGAGAGAAACTCTCTGCCATCTCCATGAGCCTAGAAAACAGCAAAGAGGAGGAAAGTTTAGCACACTGAATGGAAAATGAGACTGAGATATTCTGTTATGAAAATACAAGAACATCAGCTGAATTCTAACTTACCTAGGGAACAATCCTCTTTTCTATTAGAAGTATGGAGAAAGGCTGTCTATAGAAAAGAAAAGTCATTCTCAATAAGGAACAATAAATCTGTAAAAACACTTTCAGTAAGAATCATGAAAGAGACCTTAGAATTCTGATTTTAAGCCAATATACTATGAGGTCTACAGAATATCCTGAAAGCGTTATCAAAGACTT